TCATGGAGAAAACGCTCGAACGCATGAGGAAACCGGTGAAGTACTTGAACATCACAAGGCTGAGCGAGTACCGACCCGATGCTCATTCATCCATTTACGGGACGAAGCAAGGGAAACTACTGATTGCAACTAAGCAGAAACCCCCAGCAATGGTGGCAGATTGCAGCCATTGGTGTTTGCCCGGTGTTCCAGACACATGGAACCACTTACTCTATGCATCTTTAGTCTTAGACAGCTCCTCCAAGGCCACTTAAACTACATAAACTTTTCATTATTTTGGTAAATTCATCACAAGGGGGTGATTTGCTTTGGTCAGAGAATCGATCATTATTTATTGGAAGCTGCAGATAAACCCTTTGAATTCCAGTAGCTGATGCTAAAATTGGGTTGGTTTTCAGTTCTAGCTTCACAGTATTAATTCCAATTTATTAAGGCAGCCTTGAGAGTTGTCTATTTCTTAGGGGTTGAGTTTTATGGTATATTGCAGAAACAGTAAACACTCTGATATTACTTTTTTTCCATTTATAATTTTTATTTATCAAAATTATAGAAAACTCTTGAGTTTTCATTTATAATTTGATAGGAAAATTAAGTTGGCAACATGGAGAAATTTTTCTAACTGATTCTAGTTTAGTATGAAATTATTGATACCAACTAAAATATCATATTCCATCCACATCTTAAAATTAATTTCATTTTGTTTAATAAATATCCAGTATACGTCCAACTCTCTATTCTCCCTTGGGACCGCACCTGCTTGTACATATATACATGCAACATGCATGCATGCTCATCTCTGTGCACCACGCTTTAGTTATCCCTTTTATTTTCGCGTTTCTAGTCCTTAATCTAGCTTTAATCCTCGAATCCATCTAATTTATTAACTTAAACAGAATATTAGTGTTTAAGCTCACTAGAACCGGATTATGTTATCTGAAATATACTTGGATTAGCCTTGTCTCAGTAACAAAAGTCCGGTCGAATTCTTCAGTGTGAGTCATGGCATCCTATCCGACTATCATTCGTAGATGGTGGCTGCTCGCCTTTTCCGGCTTCGTTGTCGTCCTTCTCTTCGTCTTCGGTAATAGTCGTGATGGCTATAACATATCAGTGCTTCAGAACATGCGGGACATGCAATCTCCAAATAAAAAGGAACCACCGGAATCTTCTCATCTGTTTTTTAATTTAGAGTTGAAACCTTGTACGCTATTTAACCTCACTTACACTGAGAAACCTGCTACATCTTCTTCTTCTTCTTCTTCTCAGGATCCTTTGTCTGCAGGCTTGAAAAATGCAGAACCATGGAAGAATTTTGTTAATGTGAAACCAATCAAAATAGAAGAAAGATGCAATGTGTTTGAAGGGAAATGGGTTTATGATCCAGTGGAGAGTCCACTGTATAATTCAGCCATGTGTCCATTTTTAAGTGATAGAGCAAGCTGCCAAGGGAATGGACGACCGGATAAGGAATATGAAAGATGGAGATGGGAAGCTAATGAATGTAAGATTCCCACGTAAGTAAGCAAGTTCTCTACAATGCTTTATTTTCTTTGCATTTCACACTTGGATTTTAAACAATTCCTTTGAATTTGCTGCTAAGGTTTGACGCCAAGGACTTTTTAGAGACACTTAGAGGTAAAAGAGTTGTAAAAGTGGGAGACTCCATTGGCTTTGGCCAATGGGAATCTCTGGCTTGTCTTCTATATTCTGCTATACCTGATGAATACAAAATCGATGTTTGAAATCGGATCTTCACTGCGAAGGTACGTAGCGGTGAAGTTGTTAATTGTTGATAACGATTCATAGTTTTACTTACCAAAAAGGGTCACATTTCGATGTTAGTCATATAACTTGATGGTTGAGTCCCTGTGGGCAGAGTTTCTGGTGGAGGTGCTAGTGAACAAGACTAGCGGGAAAAAGATATTGAACCTCGACGCTCTTTCCCCCGCCGCGTCAAAATCGAAAGGTGCGGATATTATGGTATTCAACACCGGTCACTGGTGGATGAACCGCCAAAGGCAATGAATAATTCGATAAAATTGATAAACATAACAGCCCTTTGCAGCCTAATGGGTGAATATTTATGACATTGCAGGTGGGACTGGTTTCTATTCAAACAAAAATTGTATACCGATATGAAGCTCGATAGAACATTTAAGCTGGCGATGCGAACATGGGGTTGTTGGATCGAGAAAAACGTGGACACGAGCAGAACAACTGTGTTCTTCTGGGGCATGTCTCCGGCACATTTGAGGAGACACAGGTGTTAAAGGGCAACTCAACCGGTCAAGGATGATGAGGCCTTCAAATTGAAAAAGAGTGAATCATTAATCAAAGGCATTGTTGAGAAACGATCCAAGGCATGAGGAGGAAACCGGTGAGGTACGTGAACATCACGAGGCTGACAGAGTTGAGAAAAGATGCACATTCTTCGATTTATTGGAAGAAGAAGCAATTCAAGGCTGGCCCTGATTGCAGTCACTGGTGTTTGCCTGGTGTGCCTGATACATGGAACCACCTACTGTATGCAACCTTGGCGTTTGATGCCTCTTGGGGCACTTCCAATACTCGAAACCTGGATATTGTTCTTTTACATTTTCCCAATTGAAAATGCTTAAGCTTCTTCTCGTCTTGGGATACTGAAAATTCAGAGAAGCATGTTCTATGCTGCGATAGAGCACTCTAAATTTGGCATTTTTTCCGATCTGGTCCCTAAACTTGTTTATTTTTTCAATTTGATCCTTGAGTTTCTTTTATCCACATTAATCTCAAACTTTTCAAATTTTCTCAACTTGATCCATGAATTTTTCATGGGCTCCAATGAAGATGGAAGAAGCAAATCCTGCACCACGTCTGAGTATAACTTTTCAACACCAGCACCGACAGTCTGCGCCTAATAATAATATAGCACCGGGGTTCTCATGAATTGAGTCCACAGAACCTAATATAGAACTCAAAAAGTTTAGCCAAGTTTCAAGAAAAGATTATCAAAGGAGGCATACCTGGTACATAACTTCTTCCGCCTCAAGGCAAATGGATTCAAATTTCTGGCATGCATGTCCTACCCAGGTTATATCTTTTTTTCCCCTTTTTTTTGCATTTTTTGCTTCCTTTTATTTTTACCCCGAATGAAGTCATTTAAATTACTAAAATTTATGTTTTGGTCACACAACTATTCATCTAGATCCGTTTTGGCCACTTAATTTTTTTCAAAATCATCATTAAACTTGCATTTTTATCCTTTTTTGATCAGTCGCCGTTAAAAATAAATAAAATTGTTTACTAATGATAACATGGCATCACCATATGATGACACATCAGCATCATTGATGTGATCCTATTTCTACACATCCTCATCTACTTTCTACTTTCTTCTTTCTTGTCAAGAATGAAAGTCAAGGGAATAATTTCTTACTCTTTCTTTTACTCATCATATATTTATCCTATCATCATTTTATCTCTTTAATTCTGCCATAATCATAGCATACATTATAATACATTTCATACTTTATTTCATTCTTTTCTTAACTTAATATGTTCATCTTATGCTAGGCTTAGTTATGGCATTTCATTATATGAATCCATGATCTTAGCATAGCATATTATAATACTGCACATCTTTATTTAACTTATGTTATGTTTATTTAACTACATCAAGCTTATAATAGATTTATGTTAGCTCATTGCATTGTTTTCTAGCTCATTCATACATGGCAACAACTATATCATTCATTTGTATAAGTTCCTTAACTTATTTTCTTGTTTTCTTTTCATATATAGGTGAATAACAAGCTAGGGATGACTATGGCAGCTTATGGGCAACTCACTTTCACTTTGAGAGCTCGTGGGAGCTCAAGAACATCAAAAGATAACTCACTTAAAGGATTCAATTGACTTAAAAGATAGCTAAAGGAGCTGGAGAGTAGCTGACATTAACTGGAGTGTAGCTGAGGAGCTGGAAGTCGAGCTGAAGACTTATGGCAGCTAGAGTGACACTAGGTACCTAGCTAGCTACCTACACTACGTAGCTAGCTAAATGACCTACCAAGCTACCAAGGAACCTTTTAAGCAAGCTACTCCACTCGATCATGTGACAAGCACACTACCTTGACCGAATCATCACATCACTTGGCGTGGAGACCTATGCTTTTAAGGGAGGAGTTGCAACCACACAATCAGCCCATGTGCATCATCTAGGCGCCAACTCCCAAAGGGTGCCATCTATTCGACCAATGCTTGTAACTCCCCATCTAGGCGCCAAACTTGAACCAACACTTAACCATTCAGCCAAGCATCAATTCCTTTCATCCTAGTTGAAACATCACCGTATATTTTCATATTAATTATTTCAAACATCATGTATTTATAAAAAGAAACCATTGGTAGTCGAATAATTATGTAACTTCTTTGGCCTTCCTTTTCATTTTCTATTTAAAGCCAATGCCTTGGCTATTGTAAGGCATCTAATCCTTTGATAAATTAATACATTGTGAGGTTTTCTTATTCCTTAGTTCTTTCAGAAATTTATCGACTGATCAGACACTTGTGGCCCATTCCTTCAATAAAAACTTGTGTTTCCTAGTTGTTATATAACTAGAGGGGCCAGGTCCTTGTTTACCACTCCTTATTCAAACTTATAAAGAAAGATGTTAGGATCTTTATATCCTAGTTTCTTCCTTTTTTGTTCAAGATACATTTAACCATCCATTCAATTCTTTCATAACCTTCATCACGCCCAAATCATTCACCAAGTCTTCTGCTTCCAAACTCTAAAATACCTTACATCAATAACCGTTAATTTTTTAACGATGGGTGACTAAAACGGAACAAAAATGTAAGTTTAGTGATGATTTTGAAAAAAATATAGTTGAGTGACGAAAACAGAATCATAAAGATAATTAGAAGACTAAAAATGTAGTTTACGCTATTTTAAAAAAAATATAAAATAAAATGAAATAAGAGAATTTTTTATATCAAATATATCAGCTTGTCCCCCGTAAAAGCAGCGGTAAAAGTAAGCAGAGAAGTAGGGTTTTAAGTCCCTATTCTCTCGCCCAAGCACGTACTGTATTCTCTCGCCCCGCGCCAACTTCCTGCTAGCCAACTTCGCTTTCCTCCCTTGCCGTTGCAGACTCTTTCTCTACTTAGTTTCCCTGACGCCGTCGTCGCCATAATTTTCTCAGGTTTCTCTCTTTCTCTTCTCTTATGCATCTGTGGTTCCCTTATTTAGTTGTTCAATATGCTTTAATTGTCCCTTTTTTTTTACTCAATTGGTGACTTCGCTTCAAATCTATTGCCTAATTCCATTTTTCCTTTCTTTATGCTAACAATTTTATTAGTTCACCGTCAAGCACCAACCGCTCCTTAAGATATACTAGCTCTAATTTTTCTTCATTTATCAATTTTTAATAATTTCATTTTCGATTTATATCATTTTCAACATCTTGGAGCTTAATGGTAAAAAAGATGGTTAATTTCAGTTCCTTTCACTGCTGTAGAGAAAGTTGCCTTAGAGCATGAAAAAACTAAGATTGATGTAGGTACTTGTCATTATTATTATTATGCTTCCGAAGATATTTTTCCCGTGTTAGCTTTGTAGAAACTGGAAAGGGTTGCTTATATTTGTTTCACAACGTTGATTGGTGGCAGATACTTGTGCATTATGTTGAAGTTTGCTTTCATGAAATCAACTCACCTATAATTTCAATCTGACAATAATGCCGTCTGAACTATACATCTAAAAGATATTACCCTGACACAGAGACTTTAATTTAATTGAGTTCCAAGTCTCCAATTGTTTTCAGCTGCTAGTTTGTATGGTCTTTTTTTTCTTAAGGCCGGTTTTGATGGAGTAAATGTAATCAGGTTCATAGTCTTCTCGAGTCTGCTTTTGGTTTCCTTGTTGAGGTCTGCTATGCTTCTGTTAAGTCATGGCACATCCTAGTTTCATTTTTATGTTTCTTTGATGATGAAGTATTCTTTATTGGCTGAGCCAAAAAAGAGAAGTGAAATTCTGGTTTCGCTTCCTAGCTTTTGAATCAGAAGTAGGGAAGCTGATTTCTAGAAGAATGTTTTCAGCGTTTAACTACTATGAAAGGCATTCAACTATTTTACGTACTAACTTTGTGCTTTATTTGGATTAGTAAGGCGGTGGGTTATTGTGCAAGCATGAAACAAGAGTGTTGTTACTTCCATATATCGTTCACATTGTAACAAATGCACATTGTTTTTTTTTTGGTTTTTTCTTGACAAATCACTATCTATATCAAGCTTAAACTTTCTTCTGTAGTTCCAGGAAATCCCCAAGGTTTATGACTCCAAATCTGACTATGGATCATCAGGAGGGTCAGAAGCTGGATAACATAAACACTTTGAAGACAAGCAATGAGGTAATTGTTTATTTTTCCTTTTTCGTTTTAGGATGTGATGTTCTTGAGTTATCCAACTATAATAAATTGACAACACGATTTTTTTTTTGATTTTTTTTAAAAAAGATGAGTATACAAGTGAACACAGAAGAATTCCCTCCATTTCAAGAATACAAAAATGTATGCCATCATTACTATGCTTCTCAGCGTGCTTAAAAACATTATCATCTTTTCTGCTCTGACAATGAATTTTAATGTATTATTGCAAATATTTAATTAAGAGTTAACAATATCAGAATTTTGTTGAGAGAGGAAACAATAATGTCTTGGACGAGAATGATGATCAAGACAAGCATAGTGAAAGTTCCCAATCCCATCAAGCCGTTGATGAGAGTGATTCATCTGAAGATGAGGTCAGACATCCCTTCTAGTATTTTAGAAATAAATATTCCATTTAAGTTCTTACATATCTTTTTTGGCTTAAAAGGTAGCTCCTCGAAATACAATTGGTGATGTTCCATTGGAGTGGTACAAGGATGAAAAACATATTGGGTATGACAATGCTGGGAGAAAGATAACAAAGAAAGAAAGACAAGATAAACTGGATTCCTTTCTTGCAAGTGCTGATGATTCAAAGAGTTGGTTAGTTTTTCTGCTACTGATTATTTTGTTTTTATGTTAATAATAGTTTCTGTTTAGTTATTTCATTTCTCTCTTCTTCTTCTGCTATGTTTGGGAAGCTCGACTATGATAGTTGTGTTGGTATTTAGGCTTTTTGAACAGATTTAGGAAGAAGAAAAGACTTATTTCTTCTAATAGGAGTACACCCTTTTTAACATAGCAGAAAAAGAATAAAAAGGAAATAATCTCTAATAATTAGCCTATCCCTAAAAATTATTAAGATTAAGGCTAATATTTACAAGGAAATTCCTAGAACTAAGGTAGAGAATCTCCTTAATTTAAGGATTTCCAACACTCCCCCTCAAACTGGAGTGTAGATATCAATCGAACCTAGCTTGCCTATAATTTCTTCGAACTTTTTTCTGCTCAAGCTCTTGGTTAACACATCTTCTACTTGTTGTCGAGTAGGTAGATATGAAACACAAACTTCCCCTTTGTTAATTTTCTCCGTAATAAAGTGGCGATCGATTTCCACATGCTTGGTGCAGTCATGGTGTACAGGGTTGTGAGCTATACTAACTGCTGCCTGGTTGTCACAGTTCAGTATTATAGATGTATAGGATAATTTTAATTCTCCCATTAGTCGGTGTAGCCACATTCCTTCACATATACCTTGGGACAGAGCTCGATACTCAGCTTCAGCACTGTTGCGTGCCACAACCAACTGCTTTTTACTCCATGTCACGAGATTACCGCAAACATAGCTGCAGTAACCACTTGTGGAGCGCCTGTCATTAACATCTGTTGCCCAATCTGCATCAATGTTGACTTCCATGCTTCGAAGTGGATTTTTCTTGAAATGCAACCCCTTACCAGGAGTCCCTTTTAAGTATCTCAATATCCTGTAGGCAGCTTCCAAATGTTTCTCCCTAGGAGCATGCATAAATTGACTAATAGCACTTACTCCGAACGCTATGTCAGGACGAGTGTGAGAAAGATAGATAAGTTTTCCCACTAACCGTTGATATCTCCCCCTGTCTACCTCTTCTCCATCCTTATCATTTCCTAATTTAAGGTAGGGTTCCATGGGAGTCTCGGCTGGTTTGCAACCCAACAGTCCGACTTTAGAAAGTAAATCAAGAACATACTTTCTTTGAGAGATTGAAATACCTGCCTTTGATCTTGCTATCTCCATTCCAAGAAAATATCGGAGATTCCCCAAGTATTTAAGTTGAAACTTAAGACTTAAGAATTCTTTTTGTCTTTCAATTTCAATATAATCATCTCCTGTCAGTATTATGTCATCTACGTATACAATGAGAATACAACACTTCCCATTAGCCGAGTGTTTGTAGAATAAGGTGTGATCAACTTGACCTTGAATATAATGTCTACTTGTCATGGCTTTGGCAAAACTATTAAACCAAGCCTTATGGGATTGCTTTAGTCCATACAAAGACTTCTTCAACTTGCATACTTGGCCCTTGCTTCCTTCGAATCCGGGCGGAAAATCCATGTAGACTTCTTCGTTTAATTCTCCATTGGGAAAAGCATTTTTTACATCCAATTGGATCAAAGGCCAATCTAAGTTGACAACAATTAAGAAGAGAACTCGAATAGTATTTAGTTTGGCCACTGGTGCAAATGTTTCCTCGTAGTCCAACCCATATGTTTGAGTGAAACCCTTGGCCACAATTCTAGCCTTGTATCGATCGATGCTCCCATCTGGTTTAAATTTCGTAGTGAAAATCCACTTACAACCCACTGTCTTTTTCCCAATAGGTAGTTTAGATATTTCCCACGTTCCATTGTCTTCAAGAGCCTTTATTTCTTCCAACACGGCTTGCTACCGTTTGGTTGACGAGCCTCTTCTATGTTCTTTGGAGTTTCTACAGAGTCAATATTAGAAATAAAGGCATTGTAAGACAAGTTCCCATAGGATACAAACCGAGAAATGGGATGTTGAGTGTAGCTTCTAGTGCCCTTTCTCACTGCAATTGGAAGATAGATGGAAGGCAAAGGAGTAGAGACTTCTTCCTCAGGACAGTCCTCGGGTAAAGATGGCATTGGCACTGCTGTTTCAGTTTCTGGTAGTTGATGTTTCCAAGAGTACACACGAAGCTGCTGAGTTTTTTCTTCTTGTTTTTCAGGAGGAGAGGGTTGTTTTTCTTCATTAGTATGGTTAATCACCCTTGTTTCTTGTTGTTGCACAGTGGAGTCGAGTAAAACAGGGTCCAAATCAGGAATTACAGTGGTTGTAGGATTTTCAGCAGTTGTTGTAGGAATTTCAACAATGGCTATAGGAATTTCAGCAGGTTTTGTAGTGGTGGTAGGACTGATAGGGTCTTGAGGTATAATGAGAAGGTCGTTCAAGGTCTCATCTTCACTAAATATCTTCCCCTAAAGATGAGAGGCTGAAAAATATGGATTGTTTTCGAAGAAAGTAACATCAAGGGACACAAACATCTGGTGTAGGGTTGGAGAATAACACTTGTACCCCTTTTGTGTAGGTGAGTATCCAAGAAAGACACAAGTGTGGGCTCTAGGATCAAGTTTAGATCGGTTAGGTTGGTGATTGTGGACAAATGCTTTGCAACCGAAAGTTTTGGTTCGGAGATTAGGAACACGAAACAAGGGAATTTTTTTTTGAAGAGTATTTAAAGGTGTTTGAAAGTTTAATACCTTTGATGGGAGTCGGTTTATAAGATAACAAGCAGTGAGAACAACTTCTCCCCATAAATACTTCGGTACACCCATAGTAAACATAAGAGCACGAGCCACAGCTACAAGGTGTCTGTTTTTCCTCTCGGAAACTCCGTTTTGTTGAGGGGTGTCGGGACAAGAACTCTGATGTATGATTCCTTGCTTTGAAAGATAAGGGTTTAGGATAGAATTAAAGTACTCTCTCCCATTATCAGTTCTAAGGGTGTGAATTTTGGAATTGAACTGAGTTCGAATCATTGAGTGAAAACTTTGGAAGACTCTAGAGACTTCAGTTTTTTCTTTGAGGAGATAGACCCAACAAACTCTAGTGTGGTAATCAATGAATGTTATGAACCACCTAGCCCCTGTGACATTTTTTATTCGACTGGCTCCGCATAGATCACTGTGGATTAAAGAGAAAGGTTGAGATTGAACATAAGGTTTCAAAGGATAAGGGACACGGGTATGTTTAGACAGTTGGCAAACTTCACAATTCAAGGAACTTATTTTCTTATTTAGAAATAGTAGAGGAAACAGGTTCTTCAAGTATATAAAATTAGGGTGTCCTAGTCTACAGTGCCATATCATGATAGATTATTCTTTCGATGTAGATAAGGCCATCCCTTCTTGTGAACTGTTTTTATTCCAAATATATAAGCCATCTTCAACTTTATCAGTGCCAATCATCTTCCCCGATTCATGTTCCTGAACCACACAATCTAAAGCAGAAAATTTAGCAAGTACTTTCTCATCCTTGGTAAGCTTGCTAATTGAGAGTAAATTACAAGAAAGATTTGGAACATAGAAAACTTTATCAATGGAAAAATTTTCAGTAAGTTTGATTATTCCAATTCCAGCCACCGACGAGTAAGATCCATCAGCTATGCGAATCCGGGAGTGATCATGACTAGGTAAATATGTGTGAAACAAACTTAGACTATCTTTCATGTGGTTGGATGCACCCGAATCTAGTATCCAGACGGGTTCATGTGTAGTATTTAAGGCAGTACCTTGAATAGTTAGTGACCCACTAGTTGTAGGAGTCCCGAGGAGTTTATGAAGAGCCTCAAGTTAAGTTTTGGTTAGCCGAACATCCTGGGCATCTTCTTCAGTATTAGATATCATTGCTGCTTTGTTTTCTTTCTGATTTTTTCCAGGATAACCATGGAGTTTAAAGCATCTCCTTCCAACCCGGTTAAAGTGGCTACACCATGGCCTATTTGAACCGGAATCAATTCCAACCTTGTACCTTTGAGACTGTGGGTCTTTCAAAATCAGGGCAGTGTTCTATGAAGGACGATGACCAACAGTGGTCAAAGGTTTTAGTTCTCTTGTGTCTCCCAACATAATAAGATGTCGTTTCTCTTCCCTCCTTAATTCAGCAAATGCTTCTCCAATGGTTGGTAGTGTGGTTTTGACTAGTATTCGTCCTCGGACCTCATCAAGATCACGATTTAGTCCTGCTAGGAACTCATAGAGACGCTCTTTGTTAATATGATCCATGAACTTGGTGTGTTCATCGCCCTCGCCCCAATCAGCTTCATAATGCATGTCCAACTCCTGCCATAAGATCTTTAGGTTGTTGTAATATTGAGCGACTTCAAGCGCTCCTTGCCGAATATCTTTCAACTTTAATTTGATCTCGAATACTTGGGAAGCATTTCCAAGATCCGAGTAATTCTCCTTAATTGCATCTTACATTTCTTTGGCAGTTTTGAAAAAAATGTAAGTTCGGCTTATATTACCTTCCATCGAATTTATAAGCCAAGCCATGACCATTGAGTTGTTAAGCTCCCAAGTTGCATAACCAGATTTTGTCGATGTTGGTCGGGGAATGTCTCCATTGATGTACCCAATTTTTACTCGGCCACGAAGAACCATAAGGACAAATTGTGACCATTGCAGGAAATTTTTTCCATCTAATCGATGATTTGTGATTGTAAGAGAGGAGTTAAGGCCAGTTTGAGGGATTCCTTGGCTGTGATTTTGAGTAATTTGTGAGATCTCAATCTCAGAGAGAGTTTCATGGATATCACCCATGAGAGAAGGAAAAAAATTTGTTTTGGAAGAGAGATGAGAGACAAATGAGTAGGATCTAATGAATCCTATGTCTGTCGATACCATGAACAAATTTAGGAAGAAGAAAAAGTCTTATTTCTTCTAATAGGAGTACACCCTTTTTAACATAGCAGAAAAAGAATAAAAAGAAAATAATCTCTAATAATTAAGCTATCCCTAAAAATTAGTAATTAGATTATGGCTAATATTTACAAGGAAATTCCTAGAATTAAGGTAGAGAATCTCCTTAATTTAAGGATTTCGAACACTTTTATTTTGTATTTCACATGACTATCTAGCTCAATAATGGGCCTCTGCATTCTTTTCTTGTATCTTTTTTTTCTTGGTTTCTTGTCCAATAAGTACATGGAAGCTAAGTTGCTACAATTGGAACAATTCTGTTTCACACAATGAATGTTACTGGATAATTCTTTTATTGTTATCTTCAGGCGCAAGATTTATGATGAGTATAATGATGAGGAAGTTGAGCTAACTAAAAAAGAGATCAAACAGATTGGCAGATTGCTCAAAGGGAAGGCACCACATGCTGAATTTGATCCTTATGCGGTTTGTAACTCCCATTAGTTCTCATGTTCATTCACACTTATCATATTTGGCCTAGATATTGTCTTGACTTTATGCTCAAGGTTAAAATTCATAGCCATTTCTTGCAGCCTTATGTTGATTGGTTTAAGTGGGATGATGCAAAACATCCTTTATCTAATGCTCCTGAACCAAAGAGGAGGTTTATTCCTTCAAAATGGGAAAGCAAAAAGGTAAACCTTTACATGTAAAGTTTTCAGATGATGGATGAGATCCTTGCCTTTCTAACTCCCTCTGCACCTGCTTTTTTCCCTCTTTGAAGTTTTTCATAATATTAAACTCGTTAATATACAGGTTGTTGAGTATGTTAGGGCAATTCGTAAAGGATTAATAAAGTTTGACCAACCAAAAGAAGAACCTCGTTTTTATTCCCTCTGGGGTGATGATTCAAGCTCAGCAGATAGGACCAAGCATTTGGCTTACATTCCTCCCCCAAAACCTAAACTGCCAGGTTTGTCTTTGGGCCATGTTATTTAAATTTACATTCTGCTATGCTATTTGAACTATTACAAAAGCTTTGTTCTTATTGATTTTCAGGTCACGAGGAATCATATAATCCTTCTTTAGAATACATACCAACACAAGAAGAGATCACCTCTTACCAGATGATGTATGAAGAAGATCGCCCTAAGTTTATACCTAAAAGGTAATATACTAGCACATGATTTGTTAATTACAATTTCACTTGAAAGTATCTGCTCTTTTACTTGCTTGCATGTTTGAGGGTTGAAGATCTAACATACTATTCAATAATCCTGTTGATATGCTTAGGTTCACATCCTTTAGAAGCATCCCAGCATATGAGAATGCTATCAAGGACTCTTTTGAACGATGCTTGGATCTATACTTGTGCCCTAGAGTGAGGAAGAAACGTGTAAGTCTGAGATTCTGTTTGAAGGAAATCTTAATGGTTTCTGTCATAATGTCCTTTATGCCATTTCTCCTCACAGACAAGTTAATTTAAATTGCCCTTTTCCATGCTTCAGATTAATATTGACCCTGAAACCCTCAAGCCCAAGCTACCTAATAAAAAGGATCTTAGGCCTTATCCATTTGCATGTTATCTGGAGTATAAAGGTCATGAGGGTGCAGTTTTGTCAATATCAGTGGAACCTTCAGGACAATGGATTGCTTCTGGTATGAACATTTTTCCTATAAACTACAATTTGTGGTCGAAGTATAGGATGATTCCGTTCTATAAAATCAGTACTTGAGAGTTTGATATTTGCTTATGCTTGCAAAGGTTCCAAGGATGGAACTGTGCGTGTTTGGGAGGTGGAGACTGGCAGATGTCTTAGAGTTTGGGAGATTGGTGAAGCAGTTCAGCATGTTGCATGGAATCCTTTGCCAGCACGTCCTATTCTGGCAGTTTCAGCGTAAGGCTGATTTGATAGTAATTAATTTCACTCTGCTTTTCGTATCTTTTTTTTTCACCGCCTGTTTTCTTCAAAAGACATAGTTTGCCGACCTATTGTTTTTGGATGTGTTCTACTCTAAGACTCTAATGTTTGACAGGGGAGCTGATGTTCTTATTTTGAACACTGGATTTGGGGATGAGGAAGAAAAGAAAGAAATTAAGAAACTTCTGCATATTGGAACACCAACCTCTACTGATTCTGGTCAGTTTGAAACATATATTATTTCCAATGTATTGAATAAACTGTAAAGGATATGATCTGACTCTGGAAAACATCACTTTAATGCTCAGATGATATGTCATCTTACTTAAGCTGGCTTCAAGATGAAAAGTATGACTGCATCAGGCTAAGGCATTATAGGGTATGTGGTTTCTGTTCTTCCCTCTTTAGTTATTTGTACTCAGAATTGTCTATTAATGTTGAAACTGAGGACCGGTTGAAAGACTTTATAGGAATATGATAATCATTTTCTTGGCTGTGGTTTTGCAGACTGTATCTTCAGTAGTATGGCATCGCAAAGGAGACTATCTTTCTACTTTGATGCCGGCAGATATCCTTTTGCCAGTGTCATCTTATCATTACATTTTCTTTTCTGTTCTAAGCATCAATTGATGTCATATAGTTTGAAAACAAGAAGAAGACTGATGTCATATACAACAGTAATTGTTAAAAGAGCAATATGGTGTTTCCTGAAGTCTACACATGGGTCTACAATTTTAGGAGTTTTACCCCTGGGTCTGCTCATTTCTTTTGCCTATGCTTTTATGTTCTTATTGATGTTTTGATCAACTCTTCTTATTTATTGCAACTGGACATAAGAGATATTTGCTCCCATTTAATTCATTTGGTCATTTCATTGTTTCTTAACTTTTTATCACGCGAATCAAGAGCAGTTCTCATACATCAACTCTCTAAAAGGCTTACTCAACGACTCCCTTTTAAGCTCCATGGCCTCCCAGTGTCATTGGCTTTTCATCCTACTCGATCTATCTTCTTTGTAGCAACAAAGAAGAATGTTCGTGTGTATGATATGTTGAAGCAAAAGCTAATAAAAAAGCTTGAGACTCAACTGCGTGAAGTATCTTCAATTGCTGTTCATCCTGCTGGTATTTTCTCATTTTCCCCTCTGATTTCATGTGTTACTACAATCTCTTTGCCTTGTCCCACATCCCCCTACGTCGCCCCCCCCCCCCCAAAAAAAAAAAAAAAGAAAAAGGGAAAAAAACTAGCTTTCGTCTTAATATTTGATGGCTGTTTCATCTGCAGGTGATAATGTAATTGTGGGGAGCAAAGAGGGAAAACTGCGTTGGTTTGATATGGATCTGTCATCAAAACCTTACCAAAACCTCGAGTATGTGACAGCGGTTCTCTTGATAAAAAAACGACTTAATCATATGTTTTTGCATCTTGTGATACTACTATAGATAGGCCTTCATCAAGTTCCTTTAATCGGTGAAATCGTTAAATACCAAGGAAAGTCATCATACCAATACTATTTAAATTAACGAGTGTGCAGGTGTAGATATTAGAACTTTGGGGCCATTTTTTTTGTCTTTGTTTTATATTGGTTGTAACCTTCACACTGTTTTCCTGAACATTTCAGTTGTCATCGTAAAGACATTACTAATGTGGCATTCCATCGTTCATACCCACTATTTGCATCATGCTCGGATGATGGCACTGCCTATGTCTTCCATGGCATGGTTTACGCAGATCTCAACGAGAATCCCCGGATTGTACCGTTGGAAATTCTGAGAGGGCATACTAGTTCAGATGGAAGAGGTGAGTTTAACCACAGGGTTTGGACCATTTTCGAAATGAAACATGGTGCATGCATATAATTGTAAAGTAAATGTGGCGTTGGTTGATTGCAGGAGTACTGGACTGTACGTTCCATCCAAGGCAGCCATGGTTGTTCACTGCTGGTGCTGATACAACAATCAAGCTCTATTGCCACTAGGATTACCATTTACCTGCAATGCAATGTGAGTAAACATAATGAGTTAATTAGAGGTAGACCGGTCTCATTGTGATTATGAACTCCTATAAAACATATCGTAATCTCCCAATTTTCTTATATTTTGCTTAATGTCTTATGTTTGATGCAATTTTTATTGATGAGAAAGCGTCATTTCTATCTATTAATATTTTGTAATTTATTATTGGATTTTCCCCCTACGATCAACGTATTTAAGGTTTTCTGAGATTGAATTCAGTAAAAGTTCAAATCTGAAGAAAATATGAACTCGAAAAGTCAAAATTTTGTTGTGATCCGATATGGCAATGGTTAAACTAGTTATGATACAAACACGAGATCGACTGGATCCGAAATAATATGAACTTGGAAAGTCGAAATGTGATGTCATCTGATATGGTAGCGGTTTAAGCTAGTTATGATTTGAACACGTGATCAATTAGATCTGAATTTTGTAATTTTTTTTTATAATAAAAAACGTAGTATGAAATTTGTCTCCTTACGAATTCGATGTTTATATATATATATTTTTGCCAACTTAGCATATCATTTAACCATTTGTTTAGATTATTTTGTGTATTGGGTAAAGCTAAGGCTGTGGCCAAAAGAAAAATGGTAAAAATATCACAGTTATCCTCTCTGAAATAAAATTTAATTTAAGCCTTTTTATGAATACAAGGAATGGTTTTAGTGGTGGGAATGTTGTGTTTTCTATGTTTGTGTGTAAATAGATTTAAATTTGAAGGCGGACAGAGATAATATCTTGTAATAATATTACATTGATTAAAAAAATATAAACAACACAAGGAGAGAGAAAAAACTACCGGGCTTTATGAGAACTTGGAATAGATAATCGATTAACAATTAAGAGTTAAATCGTTTTTCTCATACAATGAAATGTCGAGAACATGTAAAGCATTAAGCTTAAGATTTCGTTATAAAAATAATTGAAGATTCAAAATTTTAACTGCACGTATCACAATGCAATTATTTTCTCCATAAATCCATGCGATTGCTCAAATCTTTTGATTTTATCGTCACATTGTTTAATGTGTTATATGAAAGCCTAAAATATTTCCCAAGAAGAAGAAACCCACCGGATTTGTATTAGAAATGATTTTAATTTTTTATACAAGGAGAAACATTTTTATTCATCCCAAGTCTGAACCCAGCAAAATGTGACCAAACTGGCATGCAGCAAAACCCTCAACAGGGAAAGTCTTTGTCATCCCTGCAAGACTCTTGAAATGGATCTTCCCGAGTTGTTTATCATCGATGGTGATCTCGTTCACCGGCGGCCATAGCATCAGCTCCTTCGCCTTATCCCCCTTAAGCTTTTGATCCGTTTCTTCTCGACAAACCCGTTGATCTCGGTGTCATAGGTCACCTGCTTACTGATCATCTTGAACTCGTGCCCACTTTCTTCTGCTGCACAATCCACATGTACCCAGTCTCTCTCACGAACCCGACTTCGACCACGTTGGCTCCAACTCTTGCAAAAGACCGACAGCCATTTTCATTCCGTCGTCGTGACCTTTCTTCACAATGCCTCCTTCCTTATTATCTGCCATGCTAATGCTGCGAATTAATCCCTCAAAAGTACTTGATTTAGTGCAATTGAATATTGGTGTTCTTTTTGGGGGAATTGTATATATAATTTTGGAGATAAATGTGGGACAAAATAGTGTGGAAAAATCAAGTGAGAATATGCATTGAAGGGATCGTCCTATGTGTTATAATATAAGGTATTTGTTCTATGTATACGCTTTTACATAATCTTTTTCACTTTGTGTTCATATGCATTTGTCACAGTTAAGTACCTCGTATCCAGATTTCAATGTGTATAGCCGGTTGGAGAATCTTCAAGGTTAACATTTCCTCTTTTGAAGTAAAAACATTAAGAGGGTTTGTATTTATAAACTTAATTTAATAATTTATTTGTTTAATGATTAAATTTAATGAAATTTTAATTAATTAAAAAATTCTTAATTTTATTTTGGGTAAACTTCATAGTTGGTCACTAATGTTTGAGTAAGTTTTCGTTTTCCCCATTGAAGTTACAAATCGGTCACTAATGTTATCAATTGGTTACAAACTGGTCAATCAACGTTAACAGCCATTAACACGTGTGACGGAAAACACAGCTGGCGCATTAACTATTTACATGGACTTTTGACCGCCACGTTAGAGGACTACTGGAATCCCTTTGACCGACGCTTGAACTAATATGTAATTAATAATTAATTAATTAATCAATCAATAAAGGGGCAGAAATCAAGGGTTTCATTTACCATTATGAACCACTCTTGTTCTTCTATAAACACGTTTCTTCTTCTTCCATAAATCACTTTCCTCTTCTTCCATAAACTTATTTCTTCTTTCATTCTTCTGAGAGAAAAAATAATGAGAAAAACGAGCAATGAAAAACTATGGTATTTACATGGAGGCTATGGCAAAGGGGAGACAACACTATGCTTTATGGTAAGGTTAATAAAAAAATAAAAAATAGGTTTTTGACAAAAAATATTGGATTTTCTTTGGATTTATGTTATGGATTATTGTTTCTAGATTAATATTCATCCGAAGCATCATTCCACTAACATAGACAAAAAACCATTCAATCAAAGCATTCTTCATTTGTTAAGCCAAAAGCAAGGTAAAAATCTTCTCATTTCTTTTCCTCTTTTCACTTTTCTCAACAACCCTAAGCACACAAATCTTGTCTGAAGCACTATGGGAGTACCCTTCCAAACAAAAAAATGGCATTTTTTGTCATCTTCTTCCTATAGTTTCGGCAACCAAATAACCTCCTCCCACAATTTTCATTCGTCCAAACAGTGGTCACTTTAGTTGGGCATCAACAATTGCAAAACAGAACATGAGCCTTCCATCTTCACATAATTTCTCCTCTTACAATTTTTAGGAAAAATATTTGAAGAATAAAGATAGAAATGAAAACCCCTAAATTAAGAAGAGGTAACCGTTAAAGGCTTTTGGGTCTCCAATGTGACAGTCAACCCAGTCCATGTAAGTAGTTAATGAGTGAGTTGTGTATTCCATCACGCATTTTAACGATTATTAACGTCGAGTTATCAATTTGTAACCAATCGATAACATTAGTAACCAATTTATAACTTTTGAAACTTTAGTGAAGAAAACAAAAAATTACTTAAACATTAGTAACCAACTATGTAGTTTTCCCTTTTAATTTTATAGTTATTGTTAATTTTATTAAATGATATTGGAAAAATTTTATAGGGTTGGATCTTTAATGATATTCTTAAGGGGGCGTTTAGTTCACAGAATATAAAATTATATTTGTAAATAAAATTACTGAAATATAATATTACTTTAGGAATGTTGTATTATTTTATTTAGTTTGTACAGAAATGTAAGGTACTTAAATATGACAAACAGTGTTTTGAAAATCGGACCGGAAATCGTTGTCTAGTCCAGTTCAATCTACACTGGTTGAATCGCTATTAGTGAACAGGTTGAAACCGCTGAACCGTTCGAACCGGACAGGATGAAAACTGAAAAAAATCGAAAAAATCGTTAATTTTTAAAAAAAAAAATTAAACCAAATGACGTCTTTTGTTAAACGAGCCAAATCAAACTCGAGTATTGCTGAGATCGACTCAAACTTGAAAACTTTAAAAGTAAGCTCAACTCAATTTAAACTCACGAGTTAAAAATTATCAGGTTCAACTCGAACTCGAAATATAATATTAAAATTTGAACTCGAAAAAGCTTGAACTAAAAAAAAAATTAAAAGCTCGAAACCTAAAATTTGAGCTTAATTGAAATGAAAGAATATTTCACTCAATACTCACCAAAAGACTCCATGATTTTGAATGTCAAATTACCTCTATTATTTATAGAAATTAGTTGAGATGCTCTTTTTATGTTACTTAGTCATGTGTAATTATTTTATTCTCATATTTTTACTCTTTAGACTTTTGAAATGTTTTGGATTGTTTTTAAAAACAAATTAAACCAAACAATATCATTTTGTTATGATTTTTTAGTCCCAAATTTATTTTTTAATTATAATTATATAATTAAATTTATTATTTAATATGTTTTACATTAAATATTATGTTGTAGTTAAATTGAATCATTTTGTTTCACTTGATTTAATTATTTTTAAGCATGTCTTATTCTTTGATACAAAGAATATTTCTAATCATGTTAACAAAACAAAACAAAAACATTAAGGTTTTAAAGTGCTACCCCGCTACATGACAACTGAATCTGATACGTATAACTCTTCAACATTCCATGCTACTACTCCAGAACTTGTAAGTATAATTCTTCAATATTAAAGGCTTTTATTATTTCTAACTATTTATAAGGGGATTATTCAAAGACATTCTGATTTTTTTTAAAAACTCGAGGGGCCATAGTGAAAAACGAGTGTGAAATTCAATAAAGGATGCAAGACAACAATGTCTATAATGGGATAAAGCATGCTGCACAACCTTCTCCTCTCTTCAATAACCCGACTTACGTTAATCTATCCGCCATTATAAATGAATCGAAACCAACAATAGGTGTCAACATGACATTTGTGAAAGTAACAAAAATGCATTTTTTACGTTTTAAAATGTCACAAAACAGACTTTCAGCGACGGAACGTTATGACTTCTGCTAACGCTTGGGGTGAAGATAACTAAATGACATTTAGCGACACTAAAATGATATTTATAATGAAAATTTAGCTATGTAGAACTAAACCAGGCCCCCTCATCAAAGCAAGGCTCCGAGAGAGCAGACATGTCGTCCCATCAAAAGATTCAATCTCTGTGCACAGTACCATGCTTCTTTCATTATTTTCCAGAGCATCGGCTTAATTGTACACAGACACAGACCAAAGTTTGAATAATTATATATCATCTTTTTCTAAATAATCTAAACCCAAACAGAAACAGTTAGGAAAAAAGAATAGCAGAAGATTAAAAGAATTCAAACTAGCCAACTTCCTTTTACTCGATTTAGCCTGCAGAGAGAGGAGAGACTGCTTTGCTAAATTAAAAATGAAGATCCTAGTTTACTGAGATGAACTGTCATATTAAAAACAAGAATCTGTAAGATCAAGAATCCACATATGAACATTTAACTACATGTATAATAGACAAACTTTAATGTCAAGGAAGGAACATCAGA